CCCTCCCTCCCTCCCTCTTTCCCTCCCTTCCTTCCATCCATCCTTCCGTTCTTCTTTCCTTCCCTCCTTCTATTGCTTTTGTCAGGTATTTTGTTACAGAAACAAGAAAAGTAACTAACATACCCCAGCCCACTGCTAACATTTTTCAGCATTGGGTTTGTACTTTGCTCTCTCACCTCAGTGCTGAGCTCTTACAGCCCCATTGCTGAGAGCACATCTCTCCTTCCTTCCTAGGCCTTCCATCCTCAATACGCGAGCCTACCCAATGAGTCCTCACCAAGAATTAACCTCCCTCAGAAAGAAGTCTCACCCCAGGTTATAACCCCTCCCATAGTCTGTAAGACCCAATCTGCTGATTTGAGATGTCCCCCCAGGGACCTCCTTGGCTCTGACTCCAGGTAGGGCTGGCTGATGACTTCTGAGTAACTGCATTGTGGTATGCTGCCTTGCTTGTCGCCATTTGATAGATTGTGTCTGGGTTCAATCTATATGTGTGAGCCTTTAATTACATAACTTTAAAAATCGGTTACTTCACATCCTAGTTTGAGCTCTCAGAGAAACATTTAGAAAGCTGCTGAGAACCAGAAAAAACAGGACAACTGCAAATAACAGCTTGCTATTTAGTTTCTGTGACAGATACCATGAGGCTGAACCCTTGCTATTCTTGCTAGATCATAGTTTAAAACAAGCAAGATTCACATTTCATGATCCCCTGTGATAGTTTTCAGTGGAACTATGTGACATGTTATGGGGAACAAATAAAAAACTCATGCATGCTCCACCATATATTCATCCCAGGACTCACAGATTTACTGACTGGGAGACAGAATGACAGGCTAGCAATTCCCAGTGTGGCTGAGACCAATACCATGGTTTGCTCCAACTCCCGAAAAATGTTTCCCCATGTTCTTCTTCCATCCTTTATTTTGATTTCAAATGGTACAGTTGGAAGAAACCAAGTCTCAAAAGACCTTGTGTGCTTCACCCTGAAGTAGTTTTAAAGTTTAATGTTTGCTTTTGAAAGCATGCTTTGGGATGCTTTGGCCATTCTGTACTTTTCTTTGAGAATGAACAGTAGAGTGATTCACTGGTGGATATGGTCACAACAGAGAAGGTTCTAGAATCCAAATGCTTCTGCCACTGTTATCTATGTGATGGTAAGGAGATTACTGGATATCTTGGGGTGGACACTGTGTACTTGTGAAAATGGGCAATCATAGGGTTGTCGTGAAGATTACAACATTGCCTGATGTTATAGCTTGAATGAGAAATGGGCCCCATTGGCACAAGTATTTGAACACTTGATCCCCAGTTGGTTTTGTTCCGGCAAGTTATGAAACTCTTAGGAGGTGGGGCCTTTCTGAAGGAAGTACATCACTAGAGGCAGGCTTTGGTGGTTTATAGTCTCACCCCACTTCCTGTTCTTTTTTTTTTTTGCTTCCTGTGTGTAGATGAAATGTGATTAGCCAGTTTCCTGCTCCGAATGCCAGGCCTGCCTGCTCCACCATGATGGATTCCATTACCCTTGAACCATAAGTCAAAATATGCTCATTCTTCCTGAAGTTGATTTTGGTCATGATATTTTATCACAGCAACAAAAACATAACTAAATAAACCTGGTCATACTAAGCACAATAATGTTGACTGCTTATGTTCTTTGTTATTATTGTGGTTATGACTTCACTATCACCATCATTACCTGCTGTTCCAGGGAGTGGATTTTCATCTTGTAAAACACATTCACATTTGGTGTTATCCCACAGCATGTCAATAGGACAGAGTTTCTTGGAATGAGAACATCTAGGAAAAGAAAATAATGAGCCATATTTTAAAATTTTTCAAGGTAATTCTACTTTGGATTCTTAATATTTAATATCTAATCATCAAAATGTTCCGTGCGGAGCATGTTAGTGCTTTCAAATTTTGTTCTAAGAGTGATACAGGAGAACAAATGTGTGAGAGCACTGTGTCACAGGTGACTGCTAAGAAAAGAAAACCATGTGAGAACAATTACAGTTTTTTTTTTGTTTTGTTTTGTTTTAACTTTTTTACTATTAGCAACACACTGCTGTAAACCTTCATGTACATGTTTCATAGGTGCACATTTTCAGTAGTTTGAGGATGTATTCCTAAGGGTAGAATTGTTGAGTAACAGAGTAACAATGTTTTGCATTTTGACCAACCACCAAACTGTTTTTCCAAAGTGGCACACCATTTTACAATCTCACCAAATCCTTGTTTTTAAG